GCATTCACCACCACATCGGCTAGTTTTTCTTTTTTCTAGTAGAGACAGGGTCTAGCTCTTATTTAGGCTGGTCTTGAACGCCTAAATTCAAGCAATCCCCTGCATCAGCCTCCAAGAGTGCTGCACTTAGCCATCCACTATCCTTTTGATCTCTGATACACTCCAGACTTTTTGCTAATAATGAAATTAATGGCTTGTGAAAATACACTCTCATTAGTGAAATCAGCAGAGTAAGAAATGGGGATTAACTAAATATTTCAAATTCCCACCCCCTCCTTGCATGATCAAGGTATAAGAGTAAAATCTATAGTCTACTTAAGGGACACTCAAGGCTTGATCCCTAAATTGTCCAGTGTCCAACCACTGGTCAAAGGATTTTGTTTACCTGATCCCAACTACATAGGTAACAAAATTTCACCTCTATGAAATTCTTGAATTTTGTCTCAAATGAACCTTTCATTAAGGTGTTGTCCAGTTCCTAAAAGGACACAGAGCTGACACTTCATGATATCTACAAAGGTTGTATGACCTGTTTTGCACTGCACACTCATAAATATTTAAAGTTTGTACCTGTGTTAGAATTTAGTCTAAGACTTAACTTTCATTAAAACCTGGAAGCATGGCTCGGTGCCTGTGGCTCAAGTGGCTAAGACACCAGCCACATACACCTAAGGTGGCGGGTTTGAATCCAGCCTGGGCCAGCCAAAACAACAATGACAGCTGCAACCAAAAAACAGCCAGGTATTGTGGTGGGCGCTTGTGGTCCCAGCTATTTGGGAGGCTGAGGCAGGAGACTCACTTGAGCCCAGGAGTTGGAGGTTGCTGTGAGATGTGATGCCATGGCACTCTACCCAGGGGGACAGCTTGAGGATCTGTCTCAAAAAAAAAGCCTGGAAGCAAAGTTGTGGGGGAAGGGGAACAACTAAGCCTCATCCACTTACAACCAAATTTGCTTATGTCAATTATCACTGAATGAAAAAATAATGCTGTCTTATATAGCTTATGCTAAATACAAGGAACAATAAAATACAAAGAATAGAAATACAAAAAATACAAAATACAAAGAACAATAAAGGCAAACACTACCTAAATTCAAAAGAAGGATTACTGAGGACTGAGATGATAAACCAAAGGCTCAAAAACTGGAGGCATTTAAGAAAACCTTTAAGTAAAAAGAGTCCTGAAAACAATGATGAACAAGCTTATCTGCTGTAGCGAAGGACAGGTTTAAGTCCAAGTGCAGAAATATATGAAGATGAAGAAGTGGGTAAGGACTAAATGAAGAAAGGAACTTGAACACTATACCAAAAGAATTCAAACTTTATCCAACATCCTATACTCACTACCACATATCAAAACTAAGCATTGCTGTCTTTTAATTTAGTGCTCCAAATTGCTCAACTATGATTTATTGATTTTTAACCTTTTCTTCCCTGCCTCACTTCATTCAAATAACCAGCCCCATCTCCATTCAAAAAGTGTTGACAGGCTC